CTGTCATAACTTTAGTAAACCCGCCAAACCATGCACGGAGGACTGTTTTAACCCATATAATGCCTTTTTCAACTTGCAAACAAGTGTTGGTAGCAACATCTTTACCATATCCCTGAGGTATCTTCATATAGATTTCTTCTTCAAGGTCTCCATGTAGGAAAACATTCTTAACATCAAATTGTTCCAAGTTCCAACCATAATTGGCAGCGAAGGGACAATATCACCCTAACTCGCGTTCATTTTGGCAACCTGAGCAAAGGTCTCCAAATAATCAACTCCATAGGTTTCGGTGAACCCTTTGGCAACTAGTCTTGCCTTATATCTCTCAATTGATCCATCAGCCTTGTATTTCACCGTATAGACCCATTTACATCCAACTGGCCTCTTTCCTATTGGTAAGGTGACTAACTCCCAAGTGTTGTTTTTCTCCAATGCCTCCATCTCTTCATCCATGGCTTGCCTCCATTTTCTCGTCGACAATGCCTCGGATAGGGTATTAGGTAGAAGTACGAGTGTTTAGGTTTACTAGGAAGGTTTTATGGGTAGGAGAGAAATTTTTAAAGGACAAGTAATTTGAGAGAGGGTAGAGTGGCTGTTTGGTGCATTTTCTTGTTCCTTTTCTAATGGCAATTGGGAGTTCAGGATCATTTTGGGTTTCAATTTCAACCTGCATAACTGGAGAAAAAATTGTTACCTCTTTTTGTGGAGTCGAGTTGGATTCTTGAACATGGCTTGATCCTAGAATGGCCTTAGTCTTCCTTGAGTACACCAAACTTTCTTACCAAATTTTCCAGCTTCAACATCTTCTTGATCGCCTTCACAATTAATTTCACTTTCTTGACCAACTTCCTTTGCTTGACCAATTCCTTGACTTGTTTCATTTGTTACAACTTCAATTTGATCTTCAATTTGATCTTGTTTAGGTTCAAATATCAAGTCCGGAAGAATGGGAAAACCAGAATTACTACTTTCAATATGATTTCGTTTAGGTTCAAATGTCAAGTCCGGAAGAATGGGAAAACCAGAATCACTACTTTCCTTATCTTCCCCGAAACTCTCCCCTTGAAGATAAGGTTGATGGAAATAGCCCTCTTGTTCATTGAAGGTAACATCCCTAGACACAAAGAATTTTTTGGATGGGGGTGGTAGCATTTATACCCTTTTCGAGTGGGTGAGTAACCAACAAAGACATACTTTAAGGCTCTAGGATCAAGTTTTCCCCGTCTCGTACTATGAATATGGACATATGAGATGCACCCAAAAACTCTTGGTTTAAGATTATTTGTAGTAGACAAGTTTGGATAGAAAGACGACAAAACTTCCATAGGACTTTTTGATCCTAAGACTCTAGAGGGTAATCTATTGATAAGGTATGTTGTCGTAAGGACAGACTTTCCCCCATAAATTTTTTGGGACACTTTTTTGGAACAACAATGCCCGAGTCTCGATTTAATAGATGTCCATTTTTCCTCTCTCGCGACCCCATTCTGTTGTGGTGTTTTGACACAAGAGGACTCATGAATTATATCTTCTTTTTGACAAAAAGAATTAAGGACATGATTGAAGTAATCTTTGGCATTATCCGACCTAAGCCTCTTAATATTAACACCAAACCGATTTTTTATCATGGAGTGGAAGTTTAGGAAGACGTAACTAACTTCCGATTTTTGTTTAAGTAGGAAAACCCAAGTGACCCTTGTACAGCCATCTATAAAGGTGACAAACCATCGAGTACCGCACACATTTGGAATATTAGAAGGTCCCCATACATCAAGTATGAACAAGATAAAAAGGGAAATTGCTAATTCTATTACTTATTGGAAAAGATATACGTTTGTGCTTAGCAAGTTCACACACCTCACAATGAAAACTCTCAACATCTAACTTGGTAAACAGAGAGGGAAATATAATTTTGATCACTCGAAAAGAGGGATGTCCCAACCGACAATGATAAAGCATGATTTTTTCTCTCGTTGGTCATCAAGGATTCGGATATGAAGGAGTGAGAGATTCTATTCTTGTCAAGTGCGACTTGGATCTTCGAGATAATAAAAGTCATTCCATTCTCTAGCATGTCCAATCATCCTCCCCGAATCCTTATCCCGAAATACACAATGATCATTGGAAAAAACAACTTTACATGACAAATCCTTTATAAGTTTTTGTATAGACACTAGGTTCGTGGACAACTTTGGGACATGGAGAACGTCTTTTAAGGTTATTAAATGATTGATTTGGATATTTCCTTGACCACCGCAGCTTATAAGGGTTCCATCTCGTCGTGACAATTTTCTTGTTGCTGGGACATAGGGAATATGTGGAGAAGTGTTTGGCTAATGATGTCATGTGATCTCGTGGCTCCGGAGTCCAATATCCAATAATGGTTAAAAGGCGTATTCGAGACATTTAATCCAAAAGAAGGTGGAAACTTACCCGAGTATGCCAAAGAACACATACCTGTAGGTTTTTCCAGACTTACTAAGAATGGTTTTCACCCTTTCTATCTCCTCTTCCCTTGACATTATAGCAAAAGGTGCGATGCAACAACAATGCAGGTTGTCGTCTTAGGATTTATGAAAAATACAGCGAAGAATGTGGGATGTCGTCTTAGGATTAAGAAAATGCGACGAAGAATGTAGTCATCTGTCTTAGGGTTAAGAAATATGCAAGCAGCAATGCAGTCGCCGTCTTAGGGTTACAAAATATGCAGCAGCAATGCAGAGCTACCGTCTTAGGGTTTATCGAGTGCAGATGCAGCTTCCTAGATCTGAAGCTCGATACCATCTCGGAAAAATAGATTAACCGAAATATGATTTATTTTATTATTTTAATACAAAGAGATGATATAAGATATATACAAGAGACCTAAACTATTTTAGGAAATATAATAACTCTATTTTATGCTAGGATCCCTTGATTTATGGGATTGTTCCTAATTATTCAAATCTGTACAAATTACAAGGAAATATACAAATTTCCTTATTTATTCTTTCCTAAAATACTATTTGATTTCTCACAATTAATTTACCAAACAATAACAGATATTATGGTCATCCACATCTATTACAGTAAAAACAAAGTCTAATAATGGGACAATTACTCAAACCATGTTAAAGGTTCTCTATTTTTAAAATCAACATTAACTAAAGAGTCAAATTATGAACTTATGAAAAAGACTAAAATGAAGATCTGTTATTTTTTTTAATTAATGGTAGATTTTTTTTTAAAATTAATGATAGATTTCATTATAGATCTTGACTACAAATGGTAATGAGACTGGGTAGACAATAATACCTATTCGTTTTGAAAAATAAAAAATAAAAAAATGTCTGTTATCTGTTTTATTACTCGTAAGATATCTGTTTAAAAAATATTCATACATATTTATAGATACACGTAGATATTTTTAATTTTAAATAAAATTATTTAAAATTTATTTTATAAAATATATATTATAATAATTTTGTATCATAAAATATAATTTAAATAAAATTAATCTTTATAAAATATAAATTCAAATGAGCTATAGTTTAAAGTATAAATTTAAATAATATTATTTTAAAAAAATAACTTTCATTTTATAAATTTAGACAAAAAGAATCTATATATTTCCATTTAAATACTTCTTTAATAATTAATATTTTTCATCAATAATTTTACTTTGATAAATTTATTTTTAAAAAATAAATGAAAAATTATTAGCAGATAATTAAATATTATAGCTCCAGGTATCCCTTTAATATATTAGTTTAATATTCGTAATATATTTTACTGGTAAATATTGGTAGATATGTATTTCTTATTCTCCTTAATTTTTATTTTAAAAATTAAGAGATAGAGACACGATAGAAAAAAAAAGTAAATATGTTATAATTGTTTATCTCTTCTATAGATTGACTACTTAATTTATTAGATTAACTTAAATGATCACGAGATAATAAATTTCCATATTTTCTCTAATGCAAAATTTTTAAAATAATAAATTTTACATTTAAGATTCCACATTAAAATTATTCAAGATCAGCTATACAAATATTAATACTTGGTATCCGTCTATTTTAATTTTCGAAGTAACAATATCAATTCTTTATCACAATTAATGTCATCCTTTGTTACCTAGAATAATTTTAAATTTAAGTTATTAAAATAAAAAAATTGAACTTATTCCCAAAATAATTTTTAAAAATTGATTTTTCAACTTTTTTTTCAATTTTTTGTTTTAAAATTAAATAGAATATAATTATGATTTAGTATAACTTTAGAAAAGATATATAATTTCAATTTTTATTAAAATTTATATTTAACAAATTTTTTATTCACCTTTTAATCTAATTAGTTCTTAACATTATTTTAAAAGAACTCTCTATTTCAAACAGTATTTCTTATTTTATTTATCTTACAAAATCTCACTCTTGAATTTAATTTATAAGTTTAATTACATCTTTTTTGTCTAATTCAATATCCAAATTCTTTACTTTGGAGTATTTCACTATTTCAATAATACAGTACACTCATTGATTTGACCTGTAACAATGTATCGTAGTTACACGTTAATATTTTTATTAAGTATTAAACTAATAGTAATAAGTAAATCAAAACTATACAATTAAAATAATGGGATTAATATTTAGCCTATGTGTGCCTCCCAAGTGTTGGGTTACTTTAACCACTTGAATTCTCTCACGTCTTTTTATGTGGCAAACCTTATTTGTACAATGTAAACTGGTTAACCTGAGGACACGCGTTAAAGTATAGATTCGCACAAGGGTTCTTAAGCATGGCATGGCACGTGACATACAGAGAAGAGCTTCAGTTAAAAACAGTGAAGTTAAGGATAGGTGGAGCCCGCCATGTTATTTTATATATTATTATAGTAATGGCGTCCACACTGCACGCTCTGCACGCTTCCAATGGAACATTCAAATATCTCTCAACCCTCCCACAGACAACACTACACTGCATTTCAATAAGCAAGCAAGTTACAGTTCAATCAACCATCAATGGCTTCTTCAGACACCAGCAATAGCAAGCTTCCCCTCAAACCAATCCCTGGAAGCTATGGCCTTCCCTTCTTCGGACCCTTGAGTGACAGACACGACTACTTCTACCACCAGGGAAGCGACAAGTTCTTCTCCGAGCGAATCCGAAAGTACAATTCCACAGTCATCAGAACCAACATGCCACCCGGTCCCTTCATTTCCTCAAACCCTAGAGTCATCGCTCTCCTCGACGGCGTCTCCTTCCAAATCCTTCTCGACAACGCCAAGGTCGAGAAGCGCGACGTTCTCGACGGCACCTTCATGCCGACCACCTCCTTTTTCGGCGGCTACCGCCCTTGCGCCTTCCAGGACACCACCGAGCCCTCCCACGCGCTCCTCAAGCGCTTCTATCTCAACCTCCTCGCCTCCAAGCACGACTCCTTTCTCCCGCTCTTCCGCAACAACCTCGCCGAGCACTTCACCGACCTCGAGGACAAGCTCGCCGGAAGATCCGCCAAGGCCAGCTTCAACACCTCCGTCGGCTCCGCCTCCTTCAACTTCCTCTTCCGCCTCCTCACCGGTAAAGACCCCACCGAAACCAAAATCGGTTCCGACGGCCCCAGCCTCGTCACAACCTGGCTCGCGGCGCAGCTAGCTCCACTCGCCACTCTAGGTTTACCCTGGATTTTCAACTATGCAGAAGATTTCTTGATCAGAACATTCACCTTCCCTGCTTGGACAGTGAAGTCCAGCTATAAGAAACTCTACGACGGTTTTGCCTCTGCAGGTATAATTATAATGTATTATCAATCAGTTAACATGTTGTTACAATTTCAGGATTGTCCTAACTAGCTTAGAGTGTGACAGGTTCGTCGTTGCTTGACGAAGCAGAGCGCGCGGGGATACAGAGAGACGAAGCGTGCCACAACCTTGTGTTCATGTTAGGGTTCAACGCGCATGGAGGGTTAGTGAACCAGTTTCCGATTTTGATGAAGTGGGTGGGATTGAGTGGGGAGGGTTTGCACAAAGAGCTTGCAGAAGAAATCAGGAGAGTCGTTAAAGAAGAAAACGGGGTGAGTCTCCGTGCGTTGGATAGGATGATTTTGACCAAATCTGCGGTGTACGAGGCGCTGAGGATAGAGCCTGCTGTGCCGTTCCAGTACGCGAAGGCTAGGGAAGATCTGGTGGTGGAGAGTCACGATGCGGCGTACGAGATCAAGAAGGGCGAGATGATCTTCGGATATCAGCCGTTCGCTACGAAAGATCCTAAGATCTTCGAGAGGCCCGAGGAGTTTGTGGCTCACAGGTTTGTCGGGCACGATGGAGAGAGGTTGTTGAACCACGTGTGCTGGTCCAATGGACGCGAGACGGAGGAGCCCACACCGGATAATAAGCAGTGCCCCGCCCAGAATCTGGTGGTGCTCATGTGCAGGCTATACTTGGTGGAATTCTTCCTGCGTTACGATACTTTCACGTTCGAATTTAAACCGGTTGTTCTGGGTCCGGACGTTACCATCAAATCACTCACCAAAGCATCCTCCTACTGACCCTATAGTTATCATCCTCTTCAATTTTAAACTGTATTTTTAATTATAATGCAATAAAATTAATTAAATATCTTTTTTTCCATCTACACTTCAGAGAAGTACTCATGATCTCACGCTCGTTGTGTTCTGTGAGGTGTTTTGTGCCGTTTGATTGGAGTTTTTTGTTATTTGTATATCAAATGTGTTGAGAATTTTTTGGTTTGTATGATTGAGTCATTGACTTTAGGTTGGTGGAACTTTATCATGGTTGTAGCATTTTTAGTGTAGCAAGTTGCATGTTTTTAACATATCCTGCGTCGTTTCTTCCTTTCTAATCACACAAACAAACCAAACGTACGTGGGCAAGATTCACCATGCATGTTTTTTGTATAATCATATGTTAGAACTTTAACATTTCCCTTGCATTGCACATGTATTTCATGTTTGTTTTACAAGTACACATGCCATGGTTCATGGATCACCAAGACTTTATGTCCCCTTGCGCACTATTTCCGCGTACGGATCACGAACCCAACCCACATTTGCCTGCTAAAACCACAACACCAAAGTTATACTAATGATTTATCATTAATCATCGTAGGTATAAGTTTTTTTAATTATTAACCATATCAATAGTTTAATTAATTTGTGACTAATCATTTATCGTTAGTAAATATATCATATTATTAGTATATATATTTCATTAGTTGTTAATCTGCGTTGACAATGTTTATATTAACAGACTATATCATCAACTTAACCCGCAAATTTCGATGAAGTTGGATTCCCATCCATCTTCACAACTTCAGACACAAATTTAAGGTATATGAGATGTCAAACTTATGACAACAACGATAAACAATTGAAAATATCTCTTCATTACGAATAAACTCTTGCTCGTTAAATTTCTAAGGCAACAAATTTCTTTTATCGTTTTTTTTTTTTGAAACTTATGATCATAAATAAAATTAAAGGATAATAACAATAATAATAATAATAATAATAATAATAATAATAATAATAATAATAATAATAATAATAATAATAATAATAATAGGGAGTGTATTGTTGTTGGACACAGTCATTAATTAATTTTGATTTATTCAACATTTATTAAAAGAGAGTAAGGATTCCCGCCTTTATTAACAATTTTTTTGTAAGGTTAGTAATCATATATTTATTTTAGTTAAACTGAATATAAAAGATATTTTTGCCAAAACAAAATTGAACATTTTACTTTTATATTTCTTAGTTTAATCTCACTGTCATAAGTTACTTTGAACAAATAAATAAAGAATATCAAAATCAAGCTTATAACTAAACCATCCACACATCGCCATTGATCTCCTTCTTCCACTTGTCTTCTCTAATTAAACTAAAGCATGTTTGTCTTAATAATTAATAATCAAGAATTACTAATCCAACTCAAACTATAACTTCTAAAACATTTAGATAATAGGTGGTGCCATATCCTCCTTTCAATGCCTATCGTGTCTAATCAACTAACTAATGTCATTAGTAACTAAAACATTTAGTAATCAAGAGTTCAAGTTAACTCATCTAAATTTAGTATAAATTAGTAACCCACACTCATTTTGCATTATTATATTTATATACAATACAATGTCGGCACAAAACCAATTCAATAAGAAAAAAACTAAATGGGCCCAAAAAAGCAGGCTGAATGTGATATGTTGGCCCATATGGCAGGAGGGAGGTTTTCTGTTGCCACATGGCAGACACCCTCACACAGTCTTTTTTTTTTTTTTTATTAAAAACAAATCTCTTTGTTTACTTTCTTTCTTGTACTAAAAGGATTCACATGGCAACATGTGTTTTTAGTTTTTGTACGTCAAACATACTTAGTGGTTGATTTTCTACTTTATTTATTATTACTATATAAGTTTTCTTAATGATAATTAAATTCAGGTGTTTTTTTTGTTTGTTTAAAGTACCAAATTATTGATATAAAAATACAAGACTTAGTTCATAGGTGACGGAAAATATAAAAATCAAAGTTATACTTTTTTATTTATTTATAAAATACTATATTGACTAAATTACAATTTTGATCATTCTTTAATTTTTATTTGAGATTTGTATTTCATTAAATTTCAGAAAACACATAATTTTAGTTGAATGTTTAAGTAGTTATTTTTATATTTTAAAATTTTGAAATAAAAACACGTGTACAGAATGGATAGATACTGGAATTTTCTTGCTTGTAGGAGAAGGGCTTTTCTTTGCCCCCCAAAAAGCCAGCTGTCATACACTCACACGCCAGCGCGTCTTCATCTGCTTACATTATTGCCAAACCATTACTCTCCACGTGTCCTCACCTCTTCATAAATGTTTTTGACTTTCATTTGCTCTTCCCTTGCCTAATCAATCACTTGTGCGTCTTCTGAGTTGCCGAGAGAAAATGTTGAAGAAAATGGGTTTAGAAGAAGAAGCAATAGTTCAACTGATAAACTCTGATTTCAGAGACCTAAGTATTGCTGCTAATCAATTAGCTCATCACGCCATCAAACTTGGTGGCGTAGGCTTTGCAGCCTCTTTTTTCGGAGTGATTGCTGCCATTGCTGCTATGTATGTACTCTTCTTACTCCGCTTACTGCTTCCATATCATATACTTAATTCTATATTTTTTTCTTTCCTACTATATATTTACACTTTGTAACTATTTTGAACTTCATCACTCAGTTGTTTTATGGATCATGTGGAAACTGGAGAGATTGAATCTATAAAGATGATGCTGTGAGATTGGATCTATTCCCATAGATCTCTCTCACTGTAGTTAGTTACTGCTCTGTGTTTTCATGATACATATGTTACGGACGAGAATACTTTCATGCTAAAGTTTATGCATCCAAAGCTATATTATAAAAATAGTAATTATATCGGATTAATTACATTATTTTTGTCTTATAATATTGTCTAGTTAATATAAAAGTGTCTAAATCCGTTTGTTTTTGCTTCTAACCTCTTCGTCTCAGTTTTTCCTTTTAATGATTGATAAAATAATGCATTCAAACTCTGTACACATGCATTCTTGTTGAGAATAAGTACTTTATGAACCCGTCGTTGCATTCGTTCCGAGACAAAAGAAAATAATTAAGCTAATTCAATCTATTTTTCTTTAATGACCTGAATTAGATCAATTGCAAAACTATAAAATTGGTGTAACTAGATTTAGATAAAAAAGAAAAATAGTTGTTTATATTTTTATTCAGCATAACTGCTAATATAATAACAATAATAATATCGGTGAAAATCATTATAATACAATAATATATTGTTTTCCAAAACAAAACAAAACAAGTTGCTTTACTAAAGTGGGTGGAAGATGAATAATGAGTTATGAGTGTGGTTAAGGTGCATTCAACAGTCAAGATATTATTAAAGATATGAGGTCCACCATATTGTAGTATTGCTTCTGTATTCAATGTTACTCAGAATAAATGTTGTTTTATCCCAAGGGGAAAGGTGCAACCAAAACTTTTACTTTTTTAAATAAAAGTTGTATTCAGATAAAAATACATACAATTCAAGTTTCAGTAGATGTTTTACTTGTTGGTGCCAAACTCTCATTAGTCAGTGCTGCGTGAGACAGTGACTTTATAAGCAAGCACACTTAGAATTTACTTGATATTAGTTTTTTTTAACATAAAGTTTCTCACTATTAGCCCATTCTGACAGGTACTAGCAGATGTTCTTTCTAGTTTTTCTATGTTTTCGCTGATTATTTTATCATGTCGTTTGCAGTTATCTGTTGATTTTGGATCGTACGAACTGGAAGACAAATATTCTCACAGGACTACTCATTCCATACATTTTTTTCAGCTTGCCTTCATTTATTTTCAGCGTCTTCAGGTGATTAGCCATCACGCTTATTCATATCATTCTGTACCATCATTTTGCTCTAGTATTGAATTTCCTTTTTCTTACCATTCTACTTGTGCAGAGGAGAGATTGGAAAATGGATTGCTGTTATTGCTGTTGTATTACGCCTTTTCATACCAAGACACTTCCCTGGTATGCTATAACTGCTCACAATGTAGTATTATAGTTAGTGCACCCTAAGTCTGAAACACTCTGATGGTACCCATTGATTGAACTTAGAAAACGCTACTATTTTGCAGCTATCCCCTATTCATGATCAGTGTCATTCTAAAACAAAGTAACCAAGTCAATGTTTTTTTATTTTTACAAAACTTGTATACAAATCCTTAACTATTTTTAGAGTCATTTTTCATTGTGGTTGCTAAAAACTATATATAATTAAGGACTTGTTTGATCAGTTTTGTTTTTTTAATTTTTAAAAATAGTTTTAGAGATTAATTTTAAAAATTTCCTTTTGAAAATAAGTTGGGAAGAACTTTTATAGATTTGGTTGCTCACAGTAACGCTTAGAATATTGAGTATAAGGTTAGTAACCAGGTATGATTGTTACTGCAGATTGGCTGGAGTTGCCTGGTGCTTTGATTCTTCTTATCGTTGTGGCGCCTTCTCTATTTGCAAACACTTTTAGAAACGATATTGTTGGAGTAATAGTGTGTCTCATCATTGCATGCTATCTGATGCAAGAACATATTCGGGCTTCTGGTGGTTTCAGAAACTCCTTCACTAAAGCCCACGGCATATCAAATTCCATTGGCATAATACTTCTGCTGGTCTATCCCATCTGGGCGTTGGTGGTCATACTTTTTTAGAAACCACCACTTGTACTCGGTTAAGATGTGTGAATTAAACCAATTGTTTTCTGTACCATTCATTTGTTGGAACTTGATAGTTTTATGATTCACCTATGCCTGTGTAAAGTGGAATGAAATCTCGCTGGGACCTCTTGGTTTCATAGAATGTAAAAAAAAAAAAAAGAAAGAAGGGGATGAAGATGATTGTTGGGTGTATCGTTTTAGCTGTTGTCGAGTATTCACAAATCATGTATGATTTGGGGACACCGTTGTACTCTTCTTACCTGTGGGATGTAATATAAGTTTACATTTGTTTCTGCTCTGCATTATTACACCATTTTGTTTCCAGAAAATGCAATCCTGGAAAATACATAGTTCCCTCTGGTAATGTAAATTCAAAATGCCAAATGGATGATGTCAAGACACTACTAGAGCGATGAACCTCAACTACTTAGTACTAGATGGTTTCAGGTTCACGCTAATTACGATGAATATAATTTATAAAAGACATTTGTAATCATAAAAAAGAAATATAGCTGTTGTTTATACCATAACCAAATGGCTGAGTGGATATGCTTAGATGCTATATTATAAGGTTTTGTTTGCAGCTATTTATTTCACTGAACGAACCGAAGTGTACAAAAAATGAGATGGATTAGGTGGAAACTGTCTGAATCATCATTATTGCATGTATAATCCCCCACATGGATAAAGTCATCTATGCCTTCGCTTCCTTGTATAGTTGATCAATGCAATCCTGTAATTGATGTTGGGAAGGAGTGACACTTCATTTATTTAGGAACATGAGTAACATTTATATAACTACTACGTAAAGCACTTCTACCTCTAATTGCAATTATCAATAGGTAATGCTTCCTGATTAACAGAAAGTGGTGCAACTTTTGGAAAATCATGAATCATACTACTATTTCAAGAAGTTACAGAAACAAATAACAATATTGATCATAGAACATGACACAAACCTTATAGTGCTTGAGCAATTGCGGTCTCTTCAACTTGAATGTTGGAGTTATTAGATCTCTCTCCATGTCAAAGGGAATTGGTTCCAGGTGAACTGCTTTAAGCATTTCAAAACCTCTAAGCTGAGAGAATATCAACAACGTCAAATTTAAGCAAAGCTAGAAACGAACAATGTATTCATGACCCTCTAATCTCAAGGACAAATCCGAGTTTACTCGAAACTAAATTCATGGAATTTGGTTTTCTATATACATACTTGGTGTTTCTGACCAGTGCTGTTGAGCTCATCCAAAATGTATTTTCTTGCCTTAGGATTTTTATATAAAGAATTAAAATCATCTGTAGAATTATGCTTCACTGCCCAATCCTCAAGGGCCTTTCTTTCAGGGGCCACCACTGCCACCAAAAAAGATTCAAAACTATTTCCATAGACCCAAATCTGCATATGGAATAAAAAAAAAACTCATTTATTAATAGAATTACATATATATTTAACAATTGAGGTACTTGTAAGTTCACTTTCCAATAAAAACTAGGCATCCAACATAATTCATGTAGCTGTAAATTTTCTGAATGTTCTATTTTTGAAGCAGAAGCATACCGATGTTATAAGGGGGCATTGTAAATACTTGTTTTCAATATTCTCCACAGCAACATATTCTCCTTGAGACAATTTAAAGATATTCTTTTTTCTGTCAATAATTTTCATGGCTCCATTTGGCTGCCATTCTCCAATGTCACCTGTAATGATTTTCCAAATATTCCAAAACAGACGGCATTTTGGGGAAAATTAGGAACTTCGATAATCTACAATCAATATGCAAGCAAATAAATCAAAGATGGAGAATGTCAGAAGTTCATGACAAAACTCCCCAACTTGATCTCTCCTATGTGCCTTATTCAGTGGGATTCCAAATTTAACAACAACTGTTGAACTAAATTATTTTATGAAGATCTTTTTGGATTGCTCAATTTTCAATGGAAATCCCCATGATCATTTCAACATACACAACATATCGGGAGAATACCAAGTGCCCAACATGAATCTCTTTTCAGTGTATGTTTGTGTCATTCTATCTCGTAGCAGTTTACATGACTCTGTATGATGGCTAAACAACTAAGAACACCAAATGATTAAATTGAGAATCCTACCGAAGCTTGTGGAAAGGAACTCTTCGTTGACATTGTAAATCACTCTTTAATCCACAACAACATGAGCATTTACCTGTATGAAACCAACCATCAACCAGAACTTCTTCAGTAAGATCTGGACACTTGTGGTAACCAGAGAACAATGTACTCCCTCTCAGGCAAATCTCTCCGCGGGCTTCAGTGGAGAGTGCATCATATCCCATCTCTGGCACGGATTCAAGCCTGGCCTCAATGGTTGTCGTAGGGACTCCAAATGTTCCCATCATAGAAAACACATTGCTAATTGCAGTGAAACACCCACCACAACTTTCGGTAAGACCTGTCACATCAAAATGATAATAATTTAGAGGAAGTTAATGAGGATCAACTTGTGACCATATTATAGAACGCATTTAAGAGCAAAACAAGTAAAAACATGACAAAACAAAATCATGAAAAAGGTTAAAATAACCAAACCATTTCTGAAAATTTTGGATTGAACAGTCGTCATCAAAATGACACAAAACAATCCACCAGTACTTTTTAGCAAAATATTCAAATACCATATCCTTGCAACATAGTAGCTCCAAAAGTGACCCTCAAAAACTCCTCCACGTGCCTGGGCAAAGGAGCAGCTCCTGATAACAGGAGACGAACCCGTCCACCTAATGCTTGTTTTATCTATCCATAAAACCAATATTTCAATTTTCAAATGACTTTCTGAACAAGAATCACAGAATAAAATGAAATACCTTATCAAACACAAGCTTATCAAACAAAGGTGCTGCTTTGTCTTGAGGAAGACCCTTCTCCAGGTATCCCAACTTGCTGTCAGTAGATTCTGTATTAGTTTACACTATGATAGAAGAGTAGAAATCTAAAAGGGTAGAGTTTGGTTGCAGTACATACTAGTTGTATGCATATTGAAACATTGTACTTTGCAGTACTCCTCCAGATGAAATTTTGCTAGTGATACCTTCACGCACAAATCTTATAGTCAATGTTTATAGGACATTTGTAGTTAGTAATTACAAGAGTGCACAGAGCTTAAATTCAGTACCTAGAACGTTATAGCACACACCAAGATAAAAACAATAGTACAAGAAGGATTCTTGTATTACCAGCATAAACACGATCATAAATTCTAGGAACACCGCAAAATATAGTTGGTTTCAGCACCTGAACATCTTCCATTAAGAACCTGACATCCTGCAAGAATTGACATGAAAAAAAAATTCAGTGAGTTATAACTTGATAAAAGAAACTGAATCAAAAACTTACGCCTTGCCAAAATCCAATTGAAGAACCCTTGTAGATGCAATAGGTCTCCATTATCTGGTCATATACATGAGCAAGAGGAAGGAAAGAGAAGTATACATCGTCTTCTGTTCCCTATCAATAATACAAGTTATGTTTAGTGTGAGCACATTTCAGTACATAAACATGACTAATAGGACATAAATATAAATATGTCAAACTCTTGCAATTAATCAACTTATACTAGAATATGACTAACACATTTGAGACGAGCTTTACTTTCTCTAGCCTAATGCAAGAAAACTCATTGAATCTGGCCATGCATTTATCTAATTCATGGAAAAAGTTATGGGGCATACGCTCTGTACTAGCTCTCAAAGGCTTTGAGCATCAGGTTGTTGTGAGAATGACAAAATAAAAAGTGCACAAATTAAATACGAAATGAAGCCTGAAAACCATCACCTAGTACTTCTCTCACTGACTTGTAATAAAAGAAACAAAAAACACAATACTAGTTTTTCTGCGGTTCAGTAGTGGCAGATTTTTTCCTGCCTTCAAAAAATATGACATGAAATAGTGAGACAAATTATCAGCATACCATTTTGTCTGTTAAATTAAGTATTTGGTCAATAGATAACACTTGAGCCATGAAAGCCTCATTCTTAATAATGACGCCTTTGGGTTCGCCTGTAGTTCCACTTGTGTACATGATTGTACAGATGTCAGTCTTCTTTTTCGGTGGTAGATCTAAATCCATATCTCCCTGGAGAAATGAAGATACAAAATTAAATATTAAAAAATATTCCTCCCAAAACTCAATTGATATGGTTTTGCTGTTAATTCTAGACATCAATATGAAATTAAGAATCAGGATTCCTACCAACTGGATAAACTCTTCCCAGGAGAAACAAGATGCACCAAGCTCCTCGATTTCCTTCTTTTGGGTAGTTAAAACATTACCAAAACTCACAATAGCTACACCAGTAAATTACATAGGGTTGTTACCATGAAAAGATAGACGACTCTTCAACTAATAGCAACAGGGACAAATAGACACATTTGACTCACTTTTAAGATTTGAACACCGAGCAAGGCAGGACAAAACCTGTGGAAACAGACACTGCTTTAGTAAGAATGGGGAAAAAGGACAAACATATGAGAGAGATACCAAATGCTGTCCCAGATGATAAGCTAATTATCTTCAAGAAGCTCAAAGGATAACTTAAAATGTTACAACTTACAAAGTACAATAAATAGCAAGGTATGTGCAACATTCTGTCAGTTTTAAAATAGAATATCTGATTTTAACTACTGTTTGAAGCAAGTGACTAACAGAAATATCAGAAAATAAATTTATATAACTCATTTTAAAAACTGCTAAACGACTTTCTCATCCTACAATTTGTTAGGATACCATTTGATAGCCAACTGGAAAAAAATAAATAAAAAATTCAAAAGGTTCATCTTTTGGTAAAATGAAATTCCCTCCTAGGAAACAATAAAAGATTGTGCACCAAGAAATACAACGGATCTTACAGAAGGAATCCTGCTATCCTGTACAAACGCTATCGAAACTTCAGCATGGTTTATGATAAACTCCACAGCATTGGGACCTGTTAGGCATAAATTTAAAGACCTTCTAGCTGAATGGCAAAAATTGAGTTCTTCTTCAATTTGAAAAAAATAAAATAAAAACAAGCACATTAAGAGTGATTTGAAAAAGGAACAAAAACACAAACCCAGGGTGTCATATAATGGGACATATGTTACTGCATAGCTATTGCAAGCCTGCAAACAGCAAATTTGAATCAAGCCACTCAAGTTCCATTGGAATAATCATACAATATGGTAATAAGGTACGAACTCCTGTTTTGTTAAGTGACGAACAATAGTACAAACAAGGTAAGAGAACTTTTTAGTTGCCTAATCATGATATGAATAAGAGACAAATGCTAGCAATACATTCTTTCAAAACACACTCTTCAATTATTGAAAGAATTTCCAATGTGTGCACCACTAAATATCATGAGCACACTCTCTATTAGGAAAAAATGCTTGTTAGCATTTCTCATGAATAAAATAACTACTCAACTTAATTCTGTCCTTAGTTGTGATAAACAAACTAAAGAGTTGCTTAAGTGCAATTTCTCCTACAAATTCACAGTGTATTACCTCCATTGCAAGTATCCATTCAGGGCAGTTGGACCCATATATGCCACAACGGTCTCCCTTGTGATATAAAAGCACTGAGTTAGATTAACTGTAAATATATTTCTCAATTCATAGTATCTTAAATAGAGCAAGATGGATTACAGCATTGACACCACGGCTCCTCATGGCGGAACCCATTCGGATGGAAACATCATAAGCCTCCTGATATGTCATCCACTCATAGAGACCAACCTACAAAATCAGTTCAATTATTGCATAATTTACCTAATAGAACAAACTTTATTTATTTATTGCGCATTAAGCCCATGATTCTTTTTATTGATTCCATACTAATTAGAACATGGATGAAAAAGCCTAAATTTAGTACTAGATTGAGTTAATGTTAAAATAATTTTTTATCAGGCAACTTTAAAATTCAAATTATACTCAGAAAAACGACAATGTTACCTATCAGCATTTTAAGTTTTTTCCATAAATAACACATAAGGAGCTAAATTACAAAAATTTGGCATGTGAAAACATAATTCTAAACAGAACTTGGCAGAAAATGATGGAAGAAACAAAATCAATTAAAGTTGGTACCTTCAAATCGGTTCTTTGACGCCGACCCAGCATAGGGTTGCTGGGGCACCTCGTTGTCGTGTCCCTGCATACGGAACCATCGAAACTGCTAAAATGAACTATCGAACCCCACTTCAACCACATTCAATAGCATGACAAGAAAATTTTCAGAGTGTATATTAGTTTATTCACTATTTTAAAGTTTAATCTTTTTATCAACTGGCCTATTAGCTCAGTTGGTTAGAGCGTCGTGCTAATAACGCGAAGGTCGCAGGTTCGAGACCTGCATAGGCCAATTTATATTATTTTTATTTTTTCTCATGCCCTGAATCTTCTACACCAGATTTCTCATCATAACTAAAAAAATTATGCATAAATTTGTAACATTAAGCCCTTTCTGCTAATGAAAAAAAGTGGAAGTACCTGAAGAAGTCCCATGGAGATTGAAAATGAGAAGGCAAATCCATCAAACCATCTCTGGCATAAATGCACCTGTATACAGGACCTGCTGATGGTTTTTCATCAGTTTCTGGCCTTGCCTCCTCCACCTTCACAGTGTACACATCCACCATTATGCAGAGAAGAAATGCTTTGTTAACAAACGAAGCTGTTTTGTTTTCTAAAAGCCTTTAAAGAATGGTATGAAAGTGGTAGCTGAATTTAACCCGAGATCATGGCCTCACAAGAGTTGGTTGAGCTGAAGCTTGAAGCAATAAATTCCAACATTACGTTTTATGCAATGGCGTTTTTAATAGCTCTTTATGCACTTGGCAATACACTTTACTGTTTTTAGCAGCACAACCATCTCCTGCATTTATTTTGGCTGCCAAAGTTTGGTGTGAAAGTTCATCCCTTGCCTTATTCTCTTTTTACACAACTTTCCATTTTTCTTCTTTTATTTTTGTTTAGGAAATAAAAACTAGAAAAATAGTTAATGACGGGGCTTGGACGCTGTGTTTTACACAAAATTATGCAATTTTTCAATTTGTTTAAAATATCAAAACCCCAAAAGCTCATATATGGTAGGTCACTAATTAAGAAAAGTTACTAAAAAAACACACAGTATTCATATTCTATATGTACTGTATATGGTTAATGACGTCAAATTTTTACACCTTTATCTGAACTTAGGGATCAATTTCCCATTTTAGTGTAATTTACTTTTATTATTTCTAAAATGGGTAAACTTTTTGAAAGTTTTGTTTATGGATAAGTTTGAATATATTTTAAAATGAATAAGTGGTGATTTGAAATATCTCTCTAACAAAGATGTTATATCTTCATAATTTTTTTTCATAAAATTTATTTAAATACATGATTTTAGTAAATTTTTGTATTAAAATTATCTTTTAGATTATAACTTTAGTTAGAATTTTTTTTAATATTGTAACTGTCAATTGATTGAGAATTTTAGTTTATATATTTTGATTTTATTTTTTTATTTAGTAAAAGATTGATTTTATTTTTTTATTTAGTAAAAGATTGATTTTAATATTTATTGAAAAAAATGAATATGTTAAATAAAAAAATACAGATTAAAAAAATATATGTTAAAAATTCAAACAAGTAGAAAAATATAATAAAAAAATTATCAATATGAATTTGTTTTGATATTCGTTTTAGTCTTTTTTTTTTTATGAATGAACGCTTATTTTTATAATAGTATATTTTTTTCCTGGGTTTATTATTATTATTATTATTATTATTATTATTATTATTATTATTATTATTATTATTATTATTTTCATTGTTGTATGATATTTGTGTAGATATAGTGGGACAATAAATACATATTTAAAAGAATTAAATCATGGTTTATTGGCATTATTAATTTTCTCAGAGAAAATTAATGACATAATGAGAAGTGTATTATTCAAAATTATAGGAGAGAAAATTTTAAGTTTGATATGTAAGAAGTATCGAATTGTCAGTCCCGTAAATTATATAATTAAATTAATTGATGGGTGATTTCTCATTAATAAATTCATATTTTCTTTTTAACAATTTAATATATTTGAAAATTATTTAATATTATAGATGTCTAAATAATAATTAGTTATTTATTTTATTAATTTTTAATTAAATAAAACTTTAAAAATAAAATTTAATTTAAAAAAATATGAACTAAAGTCGTTAATAAATTACTAATTCCAGTATAAAAAATGTTAAACTAAAGTCTTCCATTGAGAAGTTCAATATAAAAGAAATTAAATTAAAATTCTCAGTCAATTATCAACTTCATTAAAAAAAACTGTACTAAGTCTTTAATTAGAACACAACTTAAAAAAACAAAAAAAAATACATGAAAAGGTCGTACACTACTAGTATATGACTCAGGCAAAATTGTCTTCCTATTCACCACTTTTTTAAGAGTGAAATCGTATATGAAAACAATTTATCCCTATCAAAAAAATTTTTAAAAATTATTCATTTTGAGGATAAATAAAACAAATTGCACCATTTTAATTAATTTGTCAAACTTAATATTCCGAGTCTCAGAATATAAAACTTTCCCATTTTTTAGTAACTTTGTTTAAACATTAAATGGTACTTGAAAATTAAATAATATAAATCTTGTTTAACATGTATACATGGATGTGTATGGCTCTGGACATGATTTTATGAGAAACTTTCAAACCTTATTACTTCTTGCCTTCTTATTATTACATATAAAAAAAATCGTACTCTCTTGTTGTTAAATATAATAAACTTTAATTAATTTCACTTTATGTAATTATGTTTTTGTTAAAGTATCTTAGTTTTAATTAATGGATGATATATAAATATAATCATAATATGTATTACAAGAATATAATTTGAAAAAAAAACTAAAGATTAATAAAATTTAACATATTTAATAATCTTTCTTAATATGTATGAAATTAATTTTTGTATAAATATAATGAAGATGGAATATTATAAGAAAAAAAATATATATATATATATATATATATATATTATAAAATTTAATAACTTTGTACAGTAACAAGGTTAAGTTTTAACTTTTGAAATTAACAATGAATTTTTACTTATATATAAATACTTCTCAATCTTACAAGAATTTTCAACTTTATAAAATATATATGTATATAATTAATCTAATAGAGGATACTCATGTTTTTTTTACTTAGAAAATAAGATAATATCTTCTTAATATTTTTCTGTATAAATATTATATATAATCTTATTCTTTTTATTTCAAATTTTTATTTTTATAATATAAATGGTGGATCTTCTTAGGTGCTGAGGATCATCATTTTTAAAAGTTTTGTAACTTTTATATAATTTATAATTTTGTCTAATGAACATTTAATATATTTACAATTTTATCTTTTTAATTCTTTCTCAAATTTTTAACTCTTATATAATTTATGATTTTGTATGAACATTTAATATATTTTAATATATATCTATAATTTTATTTTTTTATTTTTTTATATTTATTTATTATTTATTAATAATATATTATATTCCTTTTGAAAACTAATGGTTAAGATGGCTGCTGATAATAGTGGTATGATACACATTCTAGCATAATTTTGTTATAAATTTGTAGAGGTTTAAGACAATATCACATATTAAACAAGCTCCACCATCAAACTCACTTGATGTTGGCATAGAGTGAATAATGCAGAACCCGTCATGTTCCGGCTAATAACGGTCAATCAAGGTAGTGTTTTTTTTCGTGTAGAAAAAATGAACCCAACAATGCCTTTTCCATTCTTTCAGTTTAAGAATTTCATCAGCAGAATATGGAGTTAAACCTTTTCTATTATAACTGCATCTTCCATGTGCTCGTTGTATTCTTCGCCATTACTTTCAGTGTATTGACAAAACTTGAGCTAACCTTAATTGAATATTCACAGCAAATAAATTTGTCTCTGCGTTGGGCCTTGTAAGAAAGTGCCCTCTGGCCTACCTACCTACCTACACGTACATTCATTGGATAGGAATGCATCTATATTTTCTTGCAATCTAAACCGATGGGTTTAACTTCATAGTATTTATTCATTATTGCGCAAGCACATGATGTGGACCCTATCAAACATCTCTGTCAAATTGTCAAACTTTTCAATACTATAAAGTAGAACAAACATTTTTCTGGATATACTAAAAACAGATTAACTTAGATAAGGCTGAATCCGTAAAATATTTTAATTGCTCTTAATTATATAGAACAGTGGATTAGGCATGAATAAAAAACCAGATTAAATTATTTTTTTCGTGTGTTCTTCTACTTTTATCAAGAGAATCAATCATAACTCAAACCTTCCACAGCATTGCAAAATAAATAAAATCCAAACCTACTTTTTGCGCTATCTTCAATGTTTAGCTGCATCATTATTAATGCACGTGACCACTACAGATGGATATTACAGATTTTTGATAATGTAGCCCCTTAACTGGATGTCAATGCATGTCTCAGATGAATTACATATCCTTTTCTCGGCCACGTATTTTGGTTTTTTCCGAACAAAACAAAACAAAACAAAAAAAATGAAACTTGAAATCTACTGGGCCGGATTGTACAGTAACAGCTCAGAAGGGTTGGTTTGGGCTTCAAGACAGATTGTGAAGTTCACAGTTACTGTGTGTTGTTGTCTCTGCATGACAGCTCCACAAGTTAACAACTATTGCTAATTATGGGTCGAAGGAAAACGCACAAAATGTTGGTTGCCACATTCCCAGAGGTGGACCGTAGTGTATGTCCTTGGATCTGTTTTGTCAAAACAAGATAAAAATGGATTCATGGAGTTTGCATTTTGAGAGAACCGACGTGGGTAGATTCAGGTACACAGAGAGCATCAAATTCCACAACTCCTCATCATGAGTTGTGGCGAATTTCAGTTGAGCCATTTAGTTGAAGAGCCAAGTAAAATTCTTTGTTGTTTTGGTAGAGAGACAATATATTTACATAAACATAGCAAAGTAACAGTGTTTTATTTAAGGAAAAAGCGGGTTTAGCTTCCCTAATCCTCCATGGTTATTAAAAAGAAAAAAAAGTGGGAATTGGACATGGCATTGATCACAAAAGATTCCAAATTCAAAATCTTATAAATGGCATTAATTATCTGACGATGAAAGAATTCACAGCAGAGTCACACACTAAAACGAATCAACAACGTTGCTTGTCAGCATACCCAATGCCACAATTAATGCCTTGCGTCTGTTGGCATAAACCTAGTGAGTGACCTAGGTCACACTATATCACTAATAATAATAATGTCATTTGCATCTTCAATCCTTCCACATGGGGATTCAGTCGGTGCCATAAAGAACCTACAAAACTCCAAACCCCTCATCAAGCAAGACAACCCATTTGCCAAAACTCTCTTGAGCTTGTAAAGCAGTAGTAGTACTGCATCAAAATAAAAGGGTGGCATGGCAAAGCCCAACCTCTATCAAATCCTCTACTCATTTATGAGCTTCCTCTTTAAAACCCTTTTCCCCCCACCAGAGTCTGAGCATAGGCACAGAGAATAATATAGAGAGAGAGAAAGAGAAAAGCACTCTTCTTACTTCTCACCACTCACCATGAAATGTCATATTTCTCTCTCTCCAATTAAATGCTCTTCCTACCATCCATTAATGACTCTCTACAAATTGCCAGACCGTCTCATTAAATTAAACCGCATGCGACCACCTCCATTTAATTCCTCCTTGACCTGACCCACACCGCCACCCTCCACCCATCTCCGATCAACACTCCGCCCCATCCACCAATCCCGCTTCGCCACGTGCCCTCTTGCCGCCTATTTTCATTTCACAACAAAATTTCCAACCTTTCTCTTCTACCTTCCTCGCTTCACCTCCGGTTAAACCTCTCCGGCGACAGCAGTGCCTCGGGATCCCCGCACCTCAGCCGGCTTGACGAGAACGCCGCCGCGGCCAACCCCGACGAACGCAGAAACATCGGACTCGCAATCGATTTGCTCCGCCGCGACGAGCTTCCGCCGCCGTACCTCACGCTCGACTCCGACAACGGGAAAAATCCTCTCCGCCGGAAGAACGGTGATTTCATCCCTCTATAATACCGAAACGAAAACACCCTTGGTTTCCCCAAAGACCCAAACGGAGATGGCCTCTTGCTCCAGAAACTATTACTCCCTCTCCTGTACCGCCACGGCGACGCCGTGGCGGGTTCCATCACCATCCTCTCCGACGCGACACTCCGTTCAAACCCAAACGAATAAGACCTCTTCAGCAGAAAATCCCCGAAACAATCCTCTGAATTAACGTTCGCGTGATTCTGGTTCCTCCTCGGCGATTGCTCCTCTATGCATGGTGTTATCTCTGGCACAGCGGAGATTGCTGCAGGCAGCGGCGGATCGAGTAGAGGGTCCATACTTATGCGGTGGAGGATTGTTTCGTCGTCGAGGCTTGGTCGGATTCGTGCCGCCATCATCGGAGTGAAAGGCGAATCGGCGCAGAGAACTCCAGCGCGGCAGAGAGGGCAGTTAGCGTGCGAGCGAAGCCACGCATCGATGCAGTCCACGTGGAAAGTGTGTGAACAAACGGGAAGCGTTCTCACGTAGTCTTCGTCTTCGAATTCAAGCAAGCAAACGGCGCAGTCGTTGCGAGACTCCTCGAAACGCGCGTCGTATTTCGCAGTGTAAATAGAAAACGGAATCGTCTTAATCACAGTTTCGTCTAAACCGTAGGGAGAGAACACGCGTGGGCCATCAAAAGGAGAGTCGTAGGGTAGGGACTCGAGGTCGCCAACGGATGACGGGGGAAAGCGCCGCCGCCTCCGGAAGCGCAGGATGAGGCGGTGGATTGGTGGCCTGAGGTGGCGCGCGATGAGGCGGGAGTAGGTGACGACTAGAAAGGCTGCCGCGACGACGACGACCATTGCTATCAAGGGGGGACTGAAGTCAACCGCCGGCGAGTTTGACGGCGGTGGTAGAAAAGATTTGTTGAGTATTGGTGTTGGAGATGGAGATGGAGATGGGGCCCAATGGGGTGGCTGAGAAGGAGGCATCATGGTGATGGTGATGATGGGAATGTGATTTGATGAGAATGGCAAGAATAAGAACTGAAGAATAGGGTTTTAGTTGTACCAAAGAGAGAGAAAGAGAAGACTCTGCAATTCGGTTTAATGCAAACACAACATACAAACGTTGACCGTGGTTCTGTGCTTCAGTTTTTTTCCTTTTTTTTTTTTTAAATATATTTTCCTTTTTCGCGCACTCACTCACTTACCAGTATTGTCGTGGCTGCTCTGCTCCACGGAGACACGTGGACTTTTGTGAAGTTGAGGCCAACGGGTTTTCTCCCCTGCTTTTCTCCCATTCTTCCATCCTATCCTCTCTCTTTCGCTTTTTGACACGTCATCGATATGGCCGTGTGCTGAATGCTCAATGGATTCCCCACTGTTTCGTTCCACATCTGCGACGCAGGATATTATCATCACTATCCTCTTTCTTTTTGGATAGGATATGGTCATAAAACATAGTGTATTTTTTGTTCAATCTCGCATGTAATTCAATTAAAATGTTTTAGATAATACATTATAATTATTTCACTAGCACGATTTTTAAGGATGGTTGAAATTCGGTCCGAATTCTAACCTTCAAAAATTAATAGAATTTTAAAATATAATAATATGTATTAAATATAAATTAAATATATATATTATATATATTTTAAAAGTTGATATATATATGAAATAAATATAAAATATAATTTTTTATATAACATAAAAATATATATTTATAATTATATTTTTAAAATATTTTTATAAATATAGTAAATACAAATATATTTAATATATATATATATATAATATTTAAATATATTTTTAATACAAAATAACTTTTGTAAGTAAAAATAATAATTTTTTATAGAAATATGATAAATACATTTTTATTAATATAATATAAAATAATTTTAATATAAAATTATATATAAATATTTTTATTATATTTATATATATATTTTTATAAATATGATAAATACATATTTATATTTTGTTATATACATTATAACTTTATTAAATATAATATATAATACATATAAATATATACTTTTATACAAAATAAATAAATAAATATATATATATATATATATATATATATATATATATATATATGATAATATAATATTTAAGTATTGATTCATCATACAATAATTATTTTTTATTATCTTTAAAATATTATTTTGGATATTTAAGTCATGCATTAATGATTTTCAGTATTGAAAACCAATAGTCAAAGTATAGATGATACATTTTTATATGACAAATATAGAGACATCTTACTAACAAAATCTCTCTTCTCATACTCCTCATAGTCATGTCTTCGATAAATTCCACCTTGAACAATTACAAAAATAATACGGAGTATGTTATTTCTTTTATCCGGTGCAACAACTAGTAGTAGGGTGTCCATGTATTTACCATATAGAAATGTCTCATCTACTTGGACTAGTGATTTACAATACCGAAAATCATCAAGACATGACTTAAAGATTCAAAATAATCTTTTAAAATATATGTAGAAGATAATTATTATGTGGTCAATTGGTACTTAAATATTATATTATCATATATATATATATATATATATATTATATAAAAGTATATTTTTATATTTATTATATATTATATTTAATAAAGTTATAATGTATATTATAACAAAATATAAATTTGTATTTATCATATTTATAAAAATATATATAAATATATTAAAATATAATAAAAATATGTATATATAATTATATATTAAAATTATTTTATATTATATTAATAAAAATGTATTTATCATATTTCTATAAAAAATATTATTTTTATTTACAAAAATTATTTTGTATTAAAATATATATTTAAATATTATATATATATTAAATATATTTGTATTTAATGTATTTATACAAATATTTTATATTTATTTCATATATATATATATATATCAAATTTTAAAAAAATATATAATATTTATATATATATAATTTATATTTAATAAATATTATTATATTTTAAAATTCTATTAATTTTTGAAGGTTGGAATTGGGCTTCCCATGTGTTATTCAATAAATTTTAATTGAATTCCATGCGAGATTTCTTCAACTACCAACACTTTCCTTCAGAAATAAAAAATAAAATACAACAACTTTTAACATTCCTCTCTTTACATCTTACTGCAAATAATTTCTATGTAGTTATTAATCTTTGTACAAAATATATTTTATCAATGAATTTTTTTAATACATTAAGAGAATCTTAAATGTTTTTAAGTTTATAACAAATTACGTATAATTACTCAATAGTTTTATATTTTTATAAAATACTAAGAAAAAAAACTTCCATCGCGAATAAAAGTATGTTGTATTATATAATTAGAGAAAAAAGTTTTATTATAAAATTAGTTTTCTAAAACAATACGCATGTGGTATTAAAAAAAAAATATTGTGTCACTTATTATTTATTATACTTTTAAATATATAATAAATTATGAGTTAATTTCGTTGATGGAAAGTTAGTTTAAATAGTATAGTATAATCTTCATCTAATTATAGGGATTAAAGGAATACATTTCATTTTATTAAAATTTTTAAAAAATATTAATGTGTTTATATAAATTACTTAATTAATAAAAAATATATTTTAAATTTTAAAATTTATTAGTAAAATTATTTTTATTTTAAATTTAATAATTTAATATATAAATTATAAGAAAAGATATTTATTTACTCTGATAAAATTAATTTTTATTTTTTTAATAATTTATGAATTTAAAATAATAATTAATCTTAATTAATAAATTATGAAATAAGTAAATATTAAAATTTATTTTTAAAATAAGTTAATTTTTTTATCAAATTAATTTATAATATATATATATATATATATTAATAAAATTATTATTATTATTATTTATTTTATTTTAAAATTTATTATTATTTTGTAAAATTGGTCCATCCGACTAGTCTAATTTAAGTCATGAAGTACATGTAAATCAGTTAAAAATATATATGATTCAATTTATGTTAAAATTTTTAATATAATCTAGTTTTTAAGGCTAACTTAAGCCTATTTTAGTCTTACAGATGATTAAACTTTAGGTTTTAATTAATATTATAATTAATACAAAATATTTGCTAATGAATAAAAATATATTTCATTGTGTTATAATTTTGATTATAAAATTAAAATTAATAAATTTATGTAAAGTAAATTTTAATGCATTAAAAGAAAGAATATTAATTGATACATTTATGGGATGTAAACATTAATTATACAAATAATAAAAAATATATTTTCATAAGAAGTACAAATAAAAAAAATTCAATTATATTTTTTTCCTGAAATTTAAGATAAATATATTTTTATTCTCTCGAACTTTAATGAAAAGTATTTTTTATAAATTTGATAATTTTGTTTGTCTTCAATTAAGAACATTGTTATTGACATTACTGACACAACTAATAGAGAATAGGTCGGCTTCTACCTCAGATTTGAATATGACTTGTTAACATCATCAAATATCTTCCAGTGTCTTTGTTTGGTCCTAAATTTAAAAGTATTTGTACTATAGGGTTTGTGGGCTGAAAAATGGGTTAAAGTAGACGTGGATCAAAATAAAACCGTTGAATGGCCCAATGGGCCTTTCACTGGGCAGTGTATATCCACTGTTGCTATGGATGGGGCCATAGTGGTCTTCGTTGGCAAAAGCAAAAAACCTTAGAGAGTGAGGTCGCAATAGAGAAACCCTAATCAGAAGGGGGGAGAAATATTGCGAGTTAGGGTTTAAGCCAGATCAGATCGGAGAAGGCATCATGTTTCCAGGAATGTTCATGCGGAAGCCGGACAAAGCTGCAGCACTGAAGCAGCTGAAATCTCACGTGGCCATGTTCGGGGCATGGGTTGTTGTTGTTCGAGTCACCCCTTACGTTCTTCACTTTCTCAGTTCCGAGAAAGAAGAACTCAAGCTCGAGCTCTAGCTTCTCACTTTCCTCGCCTGGTACATTCATCGTTTACTTTGAATTTACATGAACAATTTCTGCAACTCACTGTCATATTTTGTGAACTAAGTCTCTGTTGTAGTGAAAATTTATGGGAATTTCATTAAAAATGTAAAACTATCATATAAATAGGGAAGATGTTACTTTTTTAGAATTTATTGTCTTTATCTCTTGACATTGAAACCAAGCACACTGGATTATTTCATAAATTTTTCTCCCTTAAATATTGGCCTTTGTTTCTCCACATTCAACGCAGCTTAAGAAACGAAATTTTTACGGACAAGCGGGTGCTTATTGTGTGGTATTTAATGATAGTTCTTTAATGTGGTATTTACATCCTCAACACTGCTGTTTTGTGGTGATTGTTGCATTCTGTGATAGAGCTCCAGACCGAATACATAGTTAAGCTGATTTGGAATCATGTCAGTTGCACACTTGCATCACTTCCTTTTGTACAAACCTTTTGTAGGTGGTCTACGTGACATGAATTGTACTTTTCTGGTCTGAAATATAAGCCAAAAGATAACCAAGTTTGGTGGATTTAAAGATGAGTAAATTTCAAGTAACTGAATTGAATTTAATGTCATTATTCCAACAAAATTTCCTTAAATTAATTCATCTGTTCCAATAAATTTTATCAAAGGTAATTAAAGAAATGTAGTTTTATTTATATGAAATCAAATAATTAAATAAACTTAACTAACATCCGTAATCAGTGCGAGATTTTGTATTTTTGATTATATTTAACAAGTCTGGAGACAGTAAATTATGAACTAACCTAATACTATTATTTATTTATACATATAATTTTCTCACTCCTGCCTGTGTGATATCTGCATTGTTAGTGTCTTGGTTTCCGCGGTTGTGATCCAACTGAGATGAGATCGGAGATGCAAATAATAAAAAGGATGGTTGGATAGTATGATGAGTGGAATTTTGGATGAGGAGTAAACTTTAATCTCTCTTAACTGTGCAGCCCTTTGTTTTTCATTTCGTAAGAAAATTGAAAGATTTGAAAACCATAGATTGTATATAGAGTTTACAATAAGTAAGAAGGACATAATTTTTTATTGGCTTAATATGGTTATTAAGCATTGATCAGTACATTAATAATTAATATGACTTCTAAAATTAACTGTTGCAGACTTAACTGACTAGTGATTGGATTTTCTTGGTATATAAGATAAGGAAGGATATGCCATAACATAATCTGGGAGTTCGAAAGGTGGTAATATCTGTCTTTTGTTTGTTTTTGTGTGTGTGTGTGTGTGTGTTTTGTTTTAAAGATGAACTTCTAGTCAAACACTGAAGAAATATAAAAAATACAAAACTTTTGGTCTCAGGAGTTATATGGCACTTGACAATGCAGTGTTACATTCACTATTTCGCAATTTCTTTTAATCCTGATATTTTAGCAGATATATGATTCATTTATGGAGTTGACTATTTTGCAAGCACAAGAATTCCAGTTCTGTTTGTGTCTTCCATTTCTACCCATGTAATTCCGTATTAGATTATAGCATTGATCTACTTTTATTTGCTTATGTTAATTCTAAGCGGACAGATAGAATGTTAAGCTCATGGCATCCTTTTCCCCGTTTGAATATGATTTATATGCTGACATTTTGACATTCATTTTCATTGCTCAGCGGATATTGAGGAGTAGGACGCATCCTTGGGCTCGGGACAATCATGGAGTAGTGTTTTTACATAACCCTTGAAATTGAGGCCAGGATGTTTGGATTTGGAATATGAGTGTTTGGATTATTGGTGAAGAAATAGACATTTTCAATAATAAATTATAGATATACTCATTATATTGTTATGATTGATTATATGAAACATTATATGTTGATCTGATAGGTGAAAGTTGGTTTTAAGCCAATATTGCTTTTACTAGTCTACAAGAATAATTTTTCAAAATGTTAATATCTAATTATAATGTTTAAATTTTTCTTATTTTTTTGTGATAGAAATAATTTGAAATTATATGTAATGATTATTTTTTTGTTAGACAAGGGAAAACATAATTATAGTTAGTCTTTTTGTTTTGAAAATGGACCAGAACTACTGAATACACAGTATATAAGTTTACGATGAGAGTAGAGGTGTCTAGAATCGTACTGATTCAAAAAGTCAATTTAAATTAAATTGTAAAGCATTAGTTTTGTTTGACAAAATTTTTGTATTATATTTAAATTAGATTGAATCATATTAAATTTTTAAGTTTGACTTGGGGAATTATCAAATAAAAGAAATCGAAGTAGGTTTGTTAAGTAGGCTATGTTTCTGACATTCTATTCACATGGCCACTGGGAGATGGTTTCTAGTCGGATGTTTAAACACGGAAGTAGAACCTATGTTTATTTGATTCTAGAAGAAAGCTAAAAAAGTGCGTTTTTATTCTTAATATTTGAGAATTAATGTCATTTTTTATATGCATAATATTACAGAAAAATATCAAGATATAATTTTAATGTTAATTTTTGTTCTCTCATAAAATTATTAAATGAGATACTATTTATGGAAGACAAAATTGAAAAAAAAAAAGGAAGAAGAATATTTTTCAATGAAAGACAATAGCTTGTAGCTTGTAGCTTGTAAAGTCCACTAATTTATCAAAGAGAATTTCATCATATAGCTTGTAGTTCTACACTGGCGGGATGAGAAATTCAATTTGATAGACTTTAAATCCTATTTTCAAAAAGATGACCAAAATTTAAAATTTAAATTAGATAAAAAATTAAAGAATATTTTATTTTTAAATTTTAATGTTTCTCGTTCTTTTGTTTATATATTTTTGGATGAAATAAATAAAGCTCCGTATTTTTACTATATTTTTTCAATCATAGTATTGTTATTAATGTTGACATGGGACAGTAGGCAGTTATGTACACAGTTGAAGTTGTGAAAAGAAACGGTTTTGTTTTGACGATAGTGGTTCCTGTAACCGCAAAAAGTAACACAGCAAAAGTAAGCCAAAATGAAAGTAGCTTGTAGTTGCAGGTAGGGTTGTACCCTTATGTTCATGACCTAAGGAGTAACGCTTCACAAGCTAATGAAGCCGAGCTGAGACTAAAAAACACTCACAAAAACGTACAGAATTGAGTTGACCCACCAGTCTAGTTAGCCTGCTACCACTTGCATCACATGATAACATCATTTTCCAATGAAAATGGGGTCAATACTAGTTTGACAATTGGCGAATCTGAGTTCCCTCTTTGGAAAGCACTGGTACACAATTTGCCGCTAGTCATTCCATTCATAAATTAATTTTGGACACAGATGCATCTCTTGTCTTGTCTGGTCCCTATCAAGTAAGACTGACGCCCGTTCAAAACCATATAAGATAATATAACAATTTTCGAATGTAAAAGTATATAAGCAAAGGAACCAAGTCCTCAAGCAAAAAACGCATCTTTTGAGCACCCTTTTGAATATATCTCATTTCAAAATATTTTACTCTTCTTTCCACCATGATGGGGCTTTAGTGGAGAAGGCAAAAACGTTTCTGCTATAAACAGAAGAGTTATAACTCACCCCATTAAAGTCCTGTCAAAGAAATCTCAAATATTTAGCGGCACCGAAAAACGGAGTAGCCCATGTGTCAACACCATCATCTTAATTAAAGCAACACATTATTGCTCAATCAGCAGACAGAAAAAGCCTATGCACAACGTCCAAACTTGCACCTAACATAAACTTGCCGGAATTCAATCATGAAGTTTCTGTTTGGAGGAGAGAGGTCTTCATTGTCATGAAGTGCAATCCATGCCCATATTACATATTGGATTTTCTTTCTTTTCTTCCTTGTCTTGTTTCAATCTTCACTCGAGGGAGAACAGGGGCCAAGAATTCTGTACAAAGCTTGGGAGTTGTGAGATCTTATCTACTTTAGATAATGTTTTTGTACCACCAGAAGGTTTCAGGGGAAAGAAGTAAACAATGATGACATGACGAGTTTGGTTCGATCTTGAAGGACAAATATGATAGAAGAATATCACATGGAAAGAGGAAAATCCATAAATAGAATCAGTACAGTACTAGTAAATCACATGCACTAAGTTAATGGATGAATTACCTGGCTCCTTGGGCACCATCGCCAGCTTCAGTCTGAGATTGGGCCAGACCATGTTCTCTTCTGCTTCCCTTCTCTTCATGTCTTTGGGGGTTGAATTCTACAGCTTCACGGCTTTCTGGTACCTTTTCTTTTTCCTTTTGCTTGCACCCCACTTTGTTGTTATTCTGATCTCAACGGGTAGTTTATGTTTGCCATTATGTTGCTCTGGTTTTCTGGCTTGATTTTCTAAAATTATTTCTCCCTCAAATTCTATGGTGTTTTAGCTTCTCTATCCTTTTCTTTCATACATATGTTATTCATAGATAATCTACCGTTGAATTTGAGCTCTAGAATAGAAAAGGTAATTAATTTACCGCCAAGGATGATATTGGTGGATATTTTCGGATGTTTAATTTCTAAGCAGTGTTCCTTTTGGAGTAGACTTTTCAACTGATTAAGATCAGGTAGCTTAATTGAAGCGCTGCCATTTCTCTATAGATCGACTGAGAGAAGGATTCAGTTATTTAGCTTTTAACTTCCTTCACTATTGTTTTGCTCCGAGTGATGTGACAGGACAGAAGTATGCTGCATTTCATTGTTCTGTAGGTATTCCTTTAATATGATCAATTTGCTACTCAAATCTGTATTTTATTGAATGATGTAATCAATTTTAAGCGGAAAATCTCTGTTCACATATAGTGTTAAGAACTAGTTGGTATAATGAATTGGCATCGGAGTGATCTTTGGTGGGAAGTTACAAAAGAATATGGAACTCCATCCGTCTAAATTTTATTTTGAAATCATTAGAATTTCTTCTCCTAGAGAGCAGATTATATCAGCAAGAAAGTCGTTTCATTAGTTCTTTATAGGTTAGGAAGTACTGAATCCTAAAACAGAAGCTTACTTTGGATATTGATTACTAAGCAGCACATCTTGTGATGTTTTACCGGAATTACTTTTTCTCTCATCTCACCACTTACACAACAAAGCCACAGTTCAGGTTGTCTGCACATTTGAATCTTTTATTGATAATCTTTCCGGTTATTGTCATGGGTCAAATGTTGCCTTTTAGTTGGGTCAAAAGTACCATTTGCCTGGTCCGGCAGGCTTCGTTGGAGGGGGTGTGTTGAAAGTCCCTCATCGCCTACCTCATATCATTTGGTATGGTTTAAATACATGTTAGGCTACTCCACATATTGCCAATTGGTTTTATGTTGGCACCTTAACACTTACAATTCTGCTTCTGTTATTTGCATCACTTAAATGGCACGGGCTGAGCAAGCATCATTAGTACAATCGAATTTGTTGATTCTTCTGTTAATTAACTGGTTCAATTTTGTGTTTACTATCCATGTCCAAGTTATTTGGTGACAGTTATGGGGTTGGTCATACCATGGAGTTTCACATTAGCATTAGTAGATGGATATTCTGTTCTGCTCAAATGCCCCATTCGTCAACCAGGAATACTCTTGATTATTGTTGTGGGAGATTGGGTATGTAGTTTCTGATCCAAGCGCTATGTATCAGTTGATGTAGATAGATAATGGCAACCATCTGTTAGTGACTCCGGTTCACTTGATATAGGTATTATCAATCCTTACACTGGGAGCAGCTTGCTCAACAGCAAGTGTTGTGGATCTCCTGCTCAACGCTCATGGGTCTTTTTGCCCCCCAAAGCTCTGTAGCAGGTACAGGATATCTGCAATTATGGCCTTTTTCTCATGGTTTCTATCTTTGACATCCTCTCTATTTAACCTTTGGATATTAGCCTCTTTGTGATTTTCATTTAATTCCCCTGTAAAATTATTAGATTAATCATTATTTGTTTTGTAATTTTCCCCTTAGTTATAGTATGTAAAGTAAAATATCTTGGTATATGTATATTTATAATTACAAAAGTCTATTTGGAAAAGTTAAAAGTATAGAGAAGCTAAATGTTAAACTTTACCCCCGGACCTATAAGTACACAGCTTGAGTCCAGTGAATGTCCTTCTCAGCTTCATAGCAGATTCATGATTGTGAAACACTATAAGTGACGAGGGCACACTGCAGTTCTGCCTTCTCAACAACTCTTGCCACCGAGTCCTCCAGTGGGCTTATGCAGTGATATACAGAACCAACAGTTGAACTTTAGAATTACAGCTTCATCTTGAACTTGCACCACATCACAAGATGTCCTTCCTTCGTCATTTACTTCTTTAAAATACACCAAACAAACCTTCAAAATGAACATATTAAATTGAAGTGTTAAGGTAACGAGCATACTTTTTTATTTAATAAATGGCTCACATCAGCCAGTGAACATTGATTTATTGTATTCCCTGAGATATACCCATTAAAAAGTCTGCTTTTGACATCCAAAATATACCGTGGGAATCTTAGACAACTAAACGGAGTTCACTGTATCCGCAAATTTTCACAGAAAGTGTGGTAGATGTGTATTCAATTGCCTGCGTTGTTTCGAAGTATAATGCCATCTATCTTAAATTGGAGAAATTATTATATGAGTGTGACATGTCGTGACCAATCTCCAAACAGCATATAATTGAGATTTTTGGATTTAAGGAAAAAAGAAGAAGAAGTAAGAACACATTCCAATATATTAAGAATATGGATATTGGTCAGTATTGTAGTGGTCATTTTTTTGGCAAACTGATTATCGATAGAAAACCGCCATAATGAATGGAGCCTTAGGCCATAAAACAGACAAGGATAGAGTTCATCATCACCCCCCAAACAAGTTCATGGATGGCCTCACAACCTTACAAGAAAATCATTTTCACCATATGAGGCAAAGTGCGTTAATCATTTAGCTCTGCGTCTCATTTTGGAGCATTTCTTTACGCAAAGCTCCTGCCATTTCCTCGTTCCCTTGTCTAATGTATCCATCAATAAAAGCACCATATATTTCAGAATTCGGTTGGAAACCTTTTCCTACCATCTCTGCCTGAAGCTTCAACGCTTCTTCCATGCTCCGCTCAAAACACAACCCCCTTATCAAGGCCGCATAACTCTTTTCCCTTGGAATCAAATCAAATTTACTAACTGCGCACCTCACAAACTCCAGAGCTTCCTGAACCCTACCCTTATCACAAAGCAACCTAACCATCAAGTCAATGGTTGAAGTATCAGGCTTTAAATCCCTCCTAGACATATCCTTATAAACCAGAACAGCCGAATCAACATCCCCAACACTGCAATATCCTTTCACAAGATGCTCATAAGTTGAAGCAGTAGTCTCAACACCAGCCAATGCCATTTCCCTGAAGAACTCTTCAGCCCTAGCAACATCTCCAATCTTGCAAAAGCCACCTATAATAGTATTATAACTAACAACATCGGGCTCTATTTCCTCATTTCTCATTTCTTCCCACAATTTTTCTGCATCCCCCATCCTCCCTTCCTCGCAAAAAAAAGCCATCAACACACTAAAGCTATAAGCATTGGGCTTACAGTTACAACTCATTTCATGCCAAAGTTCCTCCATCCTTTCCACCAAACCATCTTGGTAACAGCACAACATCAACTCGTTATAAGTATGGACATTGGGGGTTACTCTTAAACCACAACCCCTTCTCGAAATTTCATTTTTTTCCTCATCCAATCGAAAGAACTCGCGGTAAATCGCATACCCTGCATCCACTCCTTGACTATTACAAACCCCGGAAATCAAAGAATTCAAGGTGCTAACTTTAGGGCTAATCCCGCGAGAGAGCAACATTCTAACGATCTCAATAGAAGGGTCAACCTTTCTGGAATCCAAACACGCCTTGATCAACAAATCGAAGACGAAGGGAGCGGAGCCACAATCTCGGTAGGTCTTGACGAGGGTTTCGAAGAGCTTCAGAGGCGGGGAGGCGAAACGACCATTTTGGTCGTCGGTTAGGTAGGAAGTGCGAATGGCGGTTCGCATGAGTTGGTAAGCGTGTGAGGATAGGCGTGCACGTGCGAGGAGGTGGATGATGGAGGAGTAAGAGGCGAGGTTGTGGTGGCAGAGTGATTTGGATTTGGTCCAGAGGAAGAAGCGAAGGGCGAGTTGGGGTTTGTTCTTGAGGTGGAGGGTGATTTGGGAAAACTCTAGGGGTTCTATGCCGTTGGGGCACGCCGATCGGAGATTGCTCCAACGTGACTTGGAACGGTGATGGGTGAGGATTGTAACAACGTTTGTTACTAAACTCTCTGAATCATCGTTTGAACAAGAAGAAGAGAAGAACAACAGAGGCCAAGGTTTCGGTCTCAGTGTTTGGGATAACTGTTTAAGGACTTGAATCGCCATTTCATTGTCTCAATTTTAAGAGCATCTTTTATATGGATTGAAATTTTACAGAAAATGTAGATTTTATTTTATTTTTATATACTATACTTTCAAAAACAGTTTTTAAAAATTAACTATTCATATTTTATAAATCTTTTAAAATCTAAATTACAAAATTCTAATAATAAATGTATTGATAATATGCTTAGACCTTGGGATTTTTTCTTCTAATAACATCGAAGTGTTGATACTTTATTCTTTTATCACTTGCCAAAGGTGGTTAGTTTGAAAGTCTTAAGAGAGGGAAGTTGGAAGGAATAATTTCATTGTTGATAAGGAGGACAAAGCAGAGATCAGCACAAATAACAGAGACCAGAAAAGAGAAATCATATTAAGCTTTCACTTTAGATGAAGATCATGCTAGTAGCATTGCTGCAGCACAATTAAATGGAGAAAGTAACCAACCAAATGACTGAAAGATTCCACATGTTTGTTTCTGTGGTAAAAGAAACAAAAAGAAAAATGGTCAAAAAATTAAAGGATGGAAAAAGGATCAAAATAGTATTTCATCGTTTTTGTTCAACTGGGTCGGTTAATTCTTCTAGCATTTGTTCCTCAAGAGCTAAGAAGCAATGCAATTGAGAAAGGGTATCTGGCATAAGTTCTTCTCTACCACTGAAACATCTATCACAATGCAACACGTTACAATCACTGTGCAGCTTCCAATAAACGCCTTTATGAATTGTGGATGCTCATGCTTTGCTAAGAAAATCCCATAACCTCACACTCCAACTTGTCATATACTATAGATATTGAAGTATAAGAACTAACCGAGAATCAGTTCCTCATAATTGCATCATGGGTCATTAGCATTCTTGGTGAAGACACAAATGGATAAGAATTTTTTAAATCAGGCATAATTTCTTTCCTAGCTAGAACCGAATGGACTTAAGAGATTGGAAGCTATGAAACTACTATTAATTATGAAAAGGAATTTATTCCCTTGTTCCTTTTTTTTTGGTTTCAAAACTTCAATCACGGAAGAAGCCTGCATGCCCGTGATTCTCAATCATCCTTAGCTTTCTGCTAAACATATATCCAAACAAACCCTTAATTCTATTCGTACATTGAAAACACTGGCAAAAATTCAATGAATACACATCTGTTCCACGTCATTCAGACGACACAAAACTATTGCCATGTAATTCGTTCCATTTCAAACCAATTCTACAAATGCTAAAATTCTTATTCTGTAATGAAAAGTCCCTAGACTGCAACATTATCTTCATTTCCTTCTCCACGTTTCAGAGAAGTCATTAAACACATTGATTTGTTTTGTACATGAAACTCCATTCATTTCAATTTTTTTTTTTCAGAAAATCAAAATTTATTCAATCATATCAGAACATATTGAAACAAAGAAACGAAATCCGTGTAGTAATGAATTACTCCTCTGCACTTTCAGTACATGATCTGCATGCATGACATGATAATAACCAATTAGTATTAATTAAACCAGTCTTAAATTTATGTGCAGATTGAAAAATCATGCAGAGACTAAGATGATAGACCGTCAACTAAAGTAACTGATAATGATAATAATAATAAAGTGGTATATATTCTGTGGTGGGCACAACACAATATGCCTTATGTCTAGCTCTTTTCCTTCCCGTTGACGTGGTGATTCCCATGAAGTCTCTATTTAGCACCATCACCACCATCTTCGGAGGAGGCATAATTCCTTTTCAATTGCTTCTACCATAAGCCAAATCAAACCCAAAACAAAACTCAAACGACAACTTAGATCTCCCAATGTCTCTAATTACCCCTCATGCAACAGAAATGCACATCACTCACCCCCTCCATATATAAATACAATTACCCTTAATGTGAAAACGCATGACACACACCACTGGCCATTCTCGCCACATCAAAGCCTCATACGATATTACATACACAACCAACCATGAAATACAGTGAGATATCCCATTTCAGCCACCCGCAACACAAGCTGAGATTTGAGTACTCAGAATTCCCCTTCAAATGTGATGGCTGCAAGGAGGTAGGCATAGGGTCGCGTTACAAATGCTCCATCTGTGACTTCGACCTTCACATGCACTGTGCCATGATAACCTCCCCCACTTTGTTCCACCCTTTCTACACCAAATGCACCTTCCAGTTCATGTCGAAACCCCCAGGTGACACACCTCGTTACTGCAACGCATGCGAGAAGGACGTGAGTGGGTTCGTGTACCACTGCAAAGCATGCGGCTTTGACCTCCACCCTTGTTGTGCGAAGCTCCCAATGGTCCTTGATGACGGTGAAGTGAAGCTGTACTTGTACAGGAAAGTGAGTTCATCCTGTCACCGTTGTGGGAGAAAGGGGCGAAGCTGGAGTTACAGGTCAAAGTGCAAGAAGTACAATCTGCATGTGGCGTGTGTGAGAGACATGTTGGTGGAGAATTGGCACGAGGTGTATGTTGGACGGTGCAAAGGAAGGAATGTGGATAGCAACGTTCCTCGTCTGAAGAACACACTGTACACTCCTCACAACAGTAGTAGGAGTAAAGGGAAGGTGAAGAAGTGTTGTGAAATTGCTGGTTTGGCTGTGCAGGTTGTGATATCAGCAGTGTTGGGAGATCCAACGGCTCTCATTGCAGGCATTGTGGGGTCCTTCATGTCCCGGGCTGCAACATAATCTATCGCTTTAGTTTAAGGTTGTGTAAACGTCAGTTCACTACTTTGTTTGGTTGTGTTGCTGTTAATCTGAATTAAATATCGGATGAGTTTGTTCATGTTTAGTTTTTTAAAAGCATAAGCAGATTTTACCTTTTTTTTAATCTGTTTGTCTAATTTATTTATTTTAAAAATAAAGAATTTTCTTTCTTTTTAAATAAGCAAACTTTATCTGGTTTGAGGTTTAGAAAGGGATTAATATTAGACAGTTATCAGAAGGAGAAAAAATTCAAATGGTGAGAAAGGGATAAACACTACACAGACCCAATAAACAAGATCCTCTCAATAATAGCCAAACAACAACAAAAGTGAAGAAAAATGTCCGTGTATATTTGGAGAACTCATATTAGTTAAAAACATCAACAGAATCTCAGTTGTAGATTGGAGTCATACCCAAAACAAGGTAAGTGATACTTCAAAATACATACACATTCTAATTCTAAAGTCTTTCTGCGGTACTATCAAATTACCTGGAAATAAGCAAACTTTATCAGTTTCTTTAAACCTTTGTTTATTTTCAGGGATATTACTGAAACAAAGCATTGGGAGGATGAATTGTATCCATTGATATGTGAAGAAAAGAGAATAAAGTTCACCCGTCCCACAGAAAAATGACACCTTCAATCTCATGTATAAATAAATGACAAGCCCCGTATGCGTGTTTTAGGTACAGCGGATTACACAAACATTATGTCTAAACACACATGATTATGTCTCTTTATATGAAAAGATAAATATTAACGTTAAAGTTAAAATATATTTTTAATTTACTATAATAAAAAATATAAAAAAATATACTGGTAATTTTTTAAAAATAATTTTTATAATTTAATAATATTTATAATTTATCGTAAAATAGTATAAAATATTATAAGTTAATTTCAATTTTTATATAAATTAATTTTAAATTTAAGATATTTTATTAAATAATTATTTTATATTAAATTTTTATCTTAATTTTAATTATATTTATTTTTATTAAATTTACAAAAACATAATTCGATCATTTATTACTATATCATATTATATATTTTAGTTTAACTCAGCAATGATATCGGAATATTATATCTACAAAATTGTTAAAAGAATTAAAAACAAGTGAAGGCGGAAGGTTTTGTTTCTCACACTTGAACAGTTGATATTAATAAAAAAATAATATATATATATATATATATATATATATATATATATAATAGAATTAAATAAGTGTTTAGTTATTTATTAATACAATAGTTATGAAATATTTAATAAATTGCTATTTTATATCGTATTAACTATTATGTTTATTAAATATATTATAAAATCATTATTAATAATACTATACAATATTATTTTATTAAATGGGCTTAAAAGAAATTGTCTTTACAATCTCATATTGTTTTAATTCCTGAAATTTGTTTACTTTTTGTCTCAATGATTTTTTGTCCTTTTATTTTTGTTTTTTTATCCTTATAATATGTAGATTACTTGCTTTTATGTCCTTATCAAATATTTTCAAAACTATTATTTCAAAATGAAGAAATATATATTATAAGAACTAAAAAAAAAAACAGTGGCTACAAAAATTGTGAAAATACGATTGTATTTCAGATGAAAAATATATAATTTTCATTAAATGAATAAACCTAATCATTATAATACTGGTATGTCAAAATTAATCTGTATATGAAAATTTATTAAATAAATTTTGATTTTTCATTAAAAATATATTCAGAAGTCTTTTAAAGTAAATTTTTTAACCATATATATATATATATATATATATATATATATATATATATATATATATATATATATATGTGTGTGTGTGTGTGTGTGTGTGTGTGATAAAAAAATAATGTGATATTGTTCCAACTTTTAAGAGAAAAATGCAAAATTTAATTTACATTTAACAAATAAACCATCTGTAATACATTTATTGTTTTTTTTTTTAAATTGTCAGAGTTAAATTAAATAAACTAAAATATACATCTATATATAAAAAAATATAACATTATCTTTGAAATAGGTATATAATTTTTTTTTTTAAATGCAAGCTTTCTTTTCCACAAGATAATATAACAGGGAGCAAGTGAATGAAGAAGAGAAAATCTTCATTTCAGTACTTCACTAATTCAATTTTGTTTTTAATTATTTTAATAATTAATCTTTTGCCGTTAGATATGATTTACGGATGAGATTGCTGCAGTACAGAGCTGTAGAATATTCACTGTGGCAGAGGACCCCAACCCAACACATGTTTCTTAGTTTTCTTTTCTTGTTTACTGGACTGCCTTCAAATAGAGAATCCAATTCGAGAGTTGTTGGGGCAGATATGTGTTGGTTTGGACCCAAATGAACAAGTTGGGCTTTTACTATTTACACTCCCCTTTCATATACTTTATTCTTTATATTTATTCATATAAAATAATCTTATAAATTCTTGATATTATCCACAGAATATTGAAATACATGTCATTGTTTTTGTAATTAGAAAAGTAATTTCTAAGAGAAAAGTATTTTTTGTCTCTTAAAATATTTAAATATCGTTATATAAGGCAAAAGTGGTAATTCTAAATTTTAAAAGATTAAAATCAAAAGCAAAATATTTTACACAGATCAAATATAAAATTTTATCATTTTATAAAGATTAAAATAAAAAATTTTAAATTTTTGAGGGAGAAAATATGAAGAAAAAGAATTCATATATACCAATTTTTATATTAAAAAATGTCACATATTATTTTTATTTTACTTTTTAAATTTTCCGTATATGAAACCGAGTAAGAAAATAAGTTGTTGACTTTTTCTTTTTTTGGTAACACGAGTCTTCATTCTCAACATATTCACGTCTGATGTAAGCTTTACAGTCAAACCCTCTTTTTTGACCATTTTCAATTTCTTCTAGGAAAGAAAAATCAAATAAAAACAATTTTTTTATTAATGATTTAATATTTTATATATATCTTAGGTTACAAAATATAAGAAACAAAGTTAATAAGATTCAAATTTATCTTGGTTAAAATTTTCTCGATGAACAATTAGAATGAAGTTAAGATATTATAATTAATTTTTTATAGTCTATGTATTTTTACCCGTATTTATTATATTTCGAATATATAATTAAGACATTATATTAATTAATTATCAATAAATTAATAATCATATTAAAAGTAATATTTTATATATAATATAATATAATATCAATAACAATAATTTTAAAAAAATATTCAGTTATGTATCTTAAAAATAAATACTTTTAGATCATATATATATATATATATATATATATATATATATATATATCACAGACAATATAATTTTATGTATTAATTTTAATAAATCAAATAAAACAATTTGATTTATTTAACTTAACTTTGTTTTAATTATTTATAAAACTAGTTTCTTTTTTTACAATTTTGAGGAGTAAATTGTCAGATGAATAATAAGATTAAAATTAAAATAGTTGAAGAGGTGTCTGATATGTGATAAAAGGAACGCGCAACAGAAGAAAAGAGGAAACCTGTGATGTGATGGGGTAAAGATAATATGTGATAAAGAGGTACCAACCATGCATAGTCAAAAACAATGTGGAAACATAAAAGGCATCATCAAAGAAAATTCAAGGATGCTTCCTACCACACACCCATAACACATAACCCTCCAAGACTTCAAATTGAGATGCTTTTTCTTTTTGAGGACCATATCCTCATGTCATGTCATTTTCTACCACTCTCATCCCTTCATTCATCATCTTTATCCCTCATCTCATCAATGCAACTACAGGACAAATCTTCAATCAAAACAATTACTTTAACTAATCACATTTTATTAATTAATCCTTCGTACCTAAGTACTACACTTTAACCTAAACCCTTGTCTACAAAGAAAAACATTTAACAATTTTTTTTCTTCTTGTCCTTTTTCATATTATTTTTCACTAAAAAAAACTTATTATCTATGGGTAAAATTCGTAGTTAATGACAAAAATATGTAGATAACTTCATCCGTGAGTAATTACCTAAGTAAATAATATACTCGCTTCCCTCTATATTATATTCTTATGTCATCCGTGGGTAATTACCTACGTACTCCTCCCCTTTATATTATATTCTTATTATTTATTATATTTTTGGAGCTTTGAATTATTATCAGATTAAGAGAATTGTCATTTTTGTAGGATTGAATCCAGTCTGCTAGAGTTGGAGGCGATACTCCGATCATTAAGTTATTAGGATATTTTGATAATAACTTACAAATAAATTATATTTATATTTATCCGTATAAATATATAAATATAAATATAAAATATATAAATATAAAATATATAAATACAAATATATTTATATTTTGATATATTTATATATTTATATTTTGATATTTTGATATTTTACATATTAGAATATCACTAATAGTTCGAGTGGTTGGAATATCAGTTTTTAAGCTTTAAGGTGCTGAGTTTGATTCTTGTGTGACAATTTTTTTAATTTCATATAATTTACCTACGGATAATAATTTCATAGATAATAATCCGGAAGATAATAATCCGGAATTATCCATGGATGCCATTACCTATTGATAATATCCGGTAATGGATAATATTTTGTAGATAATAGAGTTTTTATTTTTTTATTTTTTGTAGTGTTTTCATCTTCCAAATATGTTATTTGAAACCATAACCTGTGTGGAGAAACGCAATTATGCACGACATAACAATATACAGTTTCTGTTATCTGGACATTCTATAAAGGAACCCACCAAGAAACATGTCCAAGACCTAATATGCATCCTTCGTATCACTTTCGTGCTTTTCAAGCATTGTTTTTCATATAAATATAAAATGAACAATTATGTCTCCTTCATCTAAGTTATACTTTACTCCTTCGCCTTTTCCTCTATCTTTGCTTATAAATACCACCACCAATCTCTCCCATCGCTCACAAAAACTAGTACTGAGAACAAAATTTCTTTATTTCATTCATTCTATCTACCACTGAAGAACCAACAATATGGGAGTTTGTGCATCTACGCAGCTCGCAAGCAAAGGTGGAAACCATAGTTGGCAATCCACGGTGAACATAGTTGACTTAGATGGAAGGTTGGAGCAATTGAAGGAGCCAATTAAGGCATGGCATGTCTTGTCTCAGAACCCAAACTGCTACATCTGCTGCTCAGAAACCATGTATGTTGGGTCGCCAATGCTTCCTGTGCTTCCAACTGAAGACCTTCAGTTGGGTCTCGTCTACTTCCTTGTGCCACGTACCAAATCCCGCGTTCCACTCTCTCTTCAGGACTTGGGGGCACTGGCCATCAGAGCTAATGCAGCTCTATCTGCAGCTGCAACACCTAACTACCCAATCTCAAAACCCAATCCACAAAAAAAATTCCGTACGCACCCTACTCTTTCTAACGTTTCGCTGGGGTATTCCCATTAGATTTTGGAAAATGGGTTTGGAAATTGCATGCCGGATATCTTCACTTGTTGTGAAATCTGCAGATTTATCTGCTGGATGAAGACGGTGAAGTCAAGAGACAAGATACAAGATCCATCTATATATGATCCATATCCTTAGCCCACCATGTCTGTTGCAGACTTGCAGTTTTGAAGTTCTACAGAAACTTTCATGAAATACAATGAAGAATTATACACGATATAGTTGAATTGAAAGTTAATATTTACAAGGAAATTGAGGTGACTGGAGACCAGATTATCAATCAACTCTACTTTGGAGTACTGCAGAATTATAAGCCAAATTCAACTTGTATTGCTAGAGTCTATGCTAGCTAATAAACATTTGAGTCAAATGATTAAATTGTTTTAGCTTATTGTGTTGTTTATGTCTGGTCAAGCTTTTGAGATGGTTGAGTTTTAGTTGTTGTGTGTTAGCACTTCGCACAAAAATGCAATAATTACGGTTTCATCTTGACAAGACAAGAAGTTCATTCGTGTCTGTGTTGGTGGAATTATATATATTTATGAACCATACATGTAATTAATAAAAAGATATTCATGTTGGATTCTTCCTCAGGGACCTCATCGTTTCCAAATTAAAGATGTTTGCATTGAATTTGAGCACTAAGTTGGTAAAGAGTTTGTAATCTCGAACATATAAAAAATCAACTTGATGTGTATAGGTGCTACGTATGAATATATGACATAAGTGATTCCGTCATCACATACATCTAAAATTTGACTAATAGAGATTGAAACCAGTCAAAAAAACCCCTATCTTCCAAATTTTGTAGACCTAGAAGCTCTTCCATTAAAGATTGTTTATGATCCAACGAATATATAACACAGAAAACCAATTAATTTACAACAAATTATTCAAATTTAAGAGCCAAATGCTTCAGATGATAATTTGTTCTCTCTAGAATGAATGAGATGAGAGCTCTTTCTTTTGTACTTTAGAGTACATGGGAGGAGAGGACCACTAATGTCAACAAGACATTATTACTATGCCCTTTTTATGAATTAAATGACAGAGAAAATGAGAAGAATGGTGCTGGAAAACTTCTCACTGGATACATATATAGGGTACCACTTAATTGAGATCAGATTATTGTTGTAAAGTCATAGTACACCTTATTTCATCCAAAAGGTTAGTTTAATATATTTTATATTTTAGTCTCCGTAACATTGTTTTCATTTTAGTTTTTATATTTATTTTTATTTTTCATAATTTTTTTAATACTTTTTGCCATATCTCTTTTTATTAAGTTGTTATTTTAACTATATTTCAATAGATGATCATTTTTTATTAATTCTTGACAAAAGTCAAATAATGAACAAATGTTTATACATTTATATGTATAAATATAAGAATTTTATACGTTTTACGTTTTCTATATTAGAAACAATTATTAAAATTGATAAGTGTTTTTCTTCTAAAAGTTATTGATTTATCGGTGATATTTGTTTTCGAGTTTGACATCTTCATCTATTTAAGTTGATATTTTTAATTATAATATGCATAAAAGGTAAAATAAGGAACAGAGAATAAATATCATGTAAAATAATATAATCTCAAAATGATATATAAGATACCCACAAAATAGGAGTAAAAATAGTGGTGATTGGTGGGGAGCACTGCAAGGTTAGAGAAAAATTATTTATCATTGAGACATTGCATAATGAAAATGATTTGTAAGATGAAAAAAATTGTTACTGATTATTTTGAAAATGATGGATCAATGGGAATGTCCAATATTATCAATGGGAATGTCCAATATTCTTATTAATGATGAGGAAATACACTTGTTGGATGTAAATGCCCTAATAGAAGAAATAAACATAGATGATGTCAATTATTCAATTAACAATATGCATAATGTTGAATTCATAAATGATGATGATGAATTCATGAATGAAGAGATGGAGTTAGATTATTCAAATAATTATTTAGACCGTTCAGACGAGGAGTGATTATAAATAAATCATCTTAAGTTTATTTGATGGTAGATATGCTATGTTGAAATTAAATTAATTATTTCCTATTATTTTTTCATATTTGTATAAAAATGACATGTTTTTTAATTCATTGTATTTCTATATGTAGAAACTCAAATACCTCCTCGAGGAAGAGGGCGTGATCGAAGTTTTATTACTCCATTTCATCCTACTCAATCTCACATTAATCCTTCATAACTAGATTCTATTTTGCACTCACCACATATAGTGCAAATACTTGAATGATATTTTATTTATTAACTTTTAAATTATTTGAATATGATGTATTGTTCATTGTTCTTGTCTTAGCTATTACTTTCATCCATGGACCATCAATTGAGGTTGGTCAATCAACTAGCGGTGGTCAATTAACAACCACCATCCTACCAATTAATTGTGATCAATCATATGTTTCCCTAACGTGTGATAACATAAGAGGAGTCTTCAAGTGAAAATTTTCACAATGAAGTTGATTGTGATATCTGTACAACAAGTTAGTAACCCGTAAGTAAAACTAAACTTAATTATCAGTTATTCAACTTTATATTACTAAAACATAATTTATACATTGAGAATTTTAAATTGTAGGAGGAAGTTTGTTCCTGCTTCAGTTATTTGAGATATTATATCTAAGTTCCTCATGAAAATGCCTAATCCAACACCAAATTTGAAAAAAAAATTTGTTGATATGAAAGAAAATAATTTATTCAATGATTTTATGGTTAGTAGTTATTGTGTTAAAGTACTTAAATAGTTTTGCTTTAACTTTGTATTAAACAATAAATTTATCTATTTTTTATTAGAGTGCTAATATTTTGATACCACAAAAAGACAAAAACATCCATTCAACAACTCACTTTTAGATTTTTATATTATTATTTGTTTATGACAAGAAAGGTTTAGAATCTGACATGCATGGATCAATATTCTAACTCTTTAGCTAAGACAAGGAAAAAGGTAAAAGAAAAGGCAAATTCAGATAATATTCAAGACTTAAAAGGATCTCGGACCAAGAAGTATAAGGATTGAGATGTGAGATGTATTAGTAGACATATGATCAACAAAAGAACGGAAAAAGAAGTCTATTGAAGGTAAGACCATTAGAATTGCCAAGCATGATACCACGATGCACACAGGAGCATCAAGAAGCTTTGTATAAGTTTGTATAATTGATCTTATTATCATGTATGTAATGTAAATATAATATAATTGAAATCATATAATTGTTAATCAATATTGATCACTAGTTATAAATTGAATATTAGGTTTGATGTTGGTTTGAGATAGTCTTTATGTTGTGTTTCTTAAATTTTATATTGTTGTATGGATCTTGAGTTGTATATTGTTTTATAGGAAGAAGAATAAAAACGTCATATTTCTCATAATGAACTATATAACAAACTTCATAAAAAGAAAGATGGTGAATATATGTCCAACAAAACAAAAAATTCCATTGTAAGTGTGTATATTTTATAAATATTAAACTTTATTTATTTATAATATTGTTAAAATATTGATTTGATGTAGGAATGTTATGAAAATGCTATGACTGAAAAATATGGGAAAAACACATTAAAACATCCTATAGTTGATTTTGATATTTGGATAAAGACTGTTGGTAAAAATAAAAGAGGTAAAATTTATGGTATTAGTCAAAGTTTGGATGTTGGCATTGTTTCACATGTTTCATCTTCATCGGTTGAATGTCTCTTTTCCCAAAATCCTACCACACCTCTTACTGAAGAAATAACTACCTTATCTACAAAAATATCTAATTTGCAAGAGCATATAGATTGCAAATGTAAAATGATGTGTAAGCATTTATGCAAGCACAAATGAAGACACAAGCATAAATATAGACAAAATTTCATCACTTAAATTAGTGAAGGGCTTAACGATAGATTAACGATAAAATTTGCGACAAATTTGAGAGAGTACATCATCTATCTAATTAATTACTAAATGAAACGAACAGAGATAGAATCAGAGCGATTCGTTAAAATCCTTTCTAGATATTCTTTAATGTGCCGACTATTCATGGAACGTGAGAAGGAAGAAATCAAAGAATATCTTAGGAATCCTACAAGAGTCACTCGTTCTTTTTTCTCTGACAAATGGTCAACACTTCAACTGGGTTCAAATGCTACTGATAAGTTTATGAAATATAATAAATTGTTGAAAAAAGAATAAACAAAACATCTTACTCTTTCCAAGCGATCAAAAAAGAAAGAAATAGTAAATTTCTTCAAGATAATTATGTATTTACAAAATACTGTGTCAATTCATCATATTTCATCATATCGAGGATATGATATGGTTCCAGAGGGTGAAATGGACAATTCCAATAAGATTTCATTCTTTAACAAAAATCAATTTTAGGATTTATTTCATCTATTCCATGATCGTAACAGGGGGAGATACACGTTACACCACGATTTTGAATCAGAAGATATATTTCACGAAATGACAGATCTATTCACTTTATTAATAACTGAGCCAAATTTGGTGTATCATAAGAAATTTGATTTTTCTATTGATTCCTCCGGATTGGATAAAAAACATTTGTTATTGAACTCCAGGAATGAATGAATCGAAAAAACACTCTTTATTGGTTCTACCTCCTTTTTTTTATGAAGAGAATGAATCTTTTTATCGAAGGGTCATAAAAAAATTGGTCCAGACCTCTTGCGAAAATAATTTGGAAGATCTAAAACCTAAAATAGTTGTATTTGCTAGCAACAACATAATGGATGCATTCAATCAATATAGATTGATATGAAATATGATTCAAATCCAATATAGCACCCATGGTTACATAAGAAATATATTGAATCAATTCAATTGCAACTTCGAATATGAAATTCAAAGGTATCAAATAGGAAATGATATTCTAAATCATCGAACTATAATAAAATATACGATCAACCAACATTTATCAAATTTAAAAAAGAGTAAGAAGAAATGATTCGATCCTCTTATTTTTAT